TGCTTTCTTAGTTTTGTCCAGTGTTTACTTCTTGGAGAAACCTGAAGATTCCATATAGGCCAAGGAGCACAGTGCTCAGTGCAGAAGCACTTGGCAGCCAAGTCTAGGAAAAGATGCTTCCCTGCTATTTCTTCCCAGCCAGAAGCATAAAGAACTGCCTGTGTAATTTGTGTTATTGGACACCGAGACATCAAGGGTGGGCCACAGGGACTGACTGTGGACGTGTAAGCCTGTCTTCCACTTGCTATATTTAGAGCTTTGGCCAGATTGGATGCATTTCTCAAATCTAAAATTCTGCCTTTACATTATTGTAGTAGGAGGTAGTGTGGGTAGTGGTTAGGAAGGCGGAATTTGGAATCAGTCTTAGGTTTTAGGCCTGTCTATGTCAATACTAGCTGTATGAGGTTAGTTTAATCACTTCTCTGAGATTCAGCTTTTTCACCTACCTCGTAAGTGTTTGTAAGGCACTTAAAGCAGAGGAAATACTTAGTAAATGGTTTCCATTATTGTTGTGGTCCACATTTCAGTAGGGCATCCAGAGCCAGTGAGGTTTCCTCTGCGTACTGATTCTTACAAATATCCCTACTGAATCACTTTTACTACAAAAAAGCATGTGAGGCCAGGCGCGGTGGCCCAAGCCTATAATCCCAGCACTTTGGGTGGCCGAGGCAGGTGGATCACAAGCTCAAGAGATCAAGACCATCCTGGTCAACAAGGTGAAACCCCGCCTCTACTAAAAATACAAAAATTAGCTGGGCACGGTGGCGCGTGCCTATAGTCCCAGCTACTCGGGAGGCTGAGGCAGGAGAATTGCTTGAACCCAGGAGGCAGAAGTTGCGATGAGCCGAGATCACGCCATTGCACTCCAGCCTGGGTAACAAGAGTGAAACTCTGTCTCAAAAAAAAAAAAAAAAAAAAAAAAAAGCATGTGAATCACCTGTTACCCCAGACGCCTTCTCTGTGTCTACCCACAGAGAAGGGCTTAATGTGTTGTCCTCTCATTCTACAGATATGGAAACTGAGGTCCAAACAGGTGATGTGGTGTGTCTTTGTGCCATATGGTGAGTTTGTAGCAGAGTTGGCACTGGTCCCCTTTTCTTCTGATAGTGTCATCTCTCATTCAATAGAGGGGTTTCCACTCAAGAGAGATGGAGATGTTCCACATTTCTTTCACATCCTAGCCAAAAGTAATCAGTCTACCAGAAGTTTCCATGAGGTAAGCACAGAAGGCGCTCTCTTCATCAATGTCATACCTTTGGGAAACTATCTCCAGTGTAGATAAAAAAGCAAAAACAGAAAGAATAAATATTTTGTTGAGAGAAAAAAATAAAGACAAAGGTCAAAGGGAAGCATGTAATGGGTTGAGTCAGGAAAGAAAAAGAAAGCATTTTTTCTCTCTCGTTTTTTTTCTCCAAAGCAGGCTTTACATAGAAATTGTATAAGAGCCAATTTATCTGATATGGAAAAAATATGAAAGCAGCAAGATACACACACACACACACACACACACACACACACACACACACGAAGAGGTATTTGTGGTGGGGTTCAGAACTCAAATTACAAAGAGATAAAGGAGTTGAAATGGTAGGTTGATTTGGAAGGATACGTTTCTCTTGTTTCAATCTCAGAGAACATTCAGGTCAGGAAGCCCAGCCCAGCCCAGCCAAGTCCAGCTCAGCCCAGCCCAGCCCAGATCTCCAATAAACTCCTTGGGACACCAAAGATTCAAAGAGGAAGGCCGATGAAAGCCTCAGTCTAGCCCTTGTGCCTGTCACATAGTAGGGATTAAATAAATATTTGGAGAGTGAATGAAAGAACAAATTGTGTGTAAGAGTGTTGACCTCAATACTGATGGCTGGGCACAGTACGTGGCACTTTTACAAAGTGGGTAGGGGTTCAGCACTTAAGTTTGAGTGCCTTCAGGAAAGGGACTGGTCTGAGTCATCCTAATACTGTTTCCAGTACAGAATCTGGCATATAGAATGTTCTCAGTACATATTTGTAAATTGAGTGCGTAGTTACATGAGTGAAAGAGCTCCCTGGGCCTTGGAGATCACTTAGAGCAGTGGCTATTAAACTTTAACTAGCACCCAAATTACCAGAAGAGGCCCTGCACTCAGAGTTTCTGATTCACGAGGCTGGACTGGAGCCTGAGAGCCTGGCCTTTCTGAGTCCCCAGGTGATACTGATGCCATTGGTCTGGGGCCACACTTTGAGAACTTGTTTTAGTGCACTGGTTTTTAAACTTGGTTGCAAATGATAATCATTGTGTGAGATTTTAAAAGTTTTAATGGTCAGACCCTATTCTTAACCATTAAATCAATATCTGGGAGTGGGGAGGTAGAGAGTTGAGATGGGATGCAAGTGAGACCCAAACAATTTTTAAAGGTCCCAAGTTTTTTAATGTGCAATCTAAATGGAAAAGAACTGGCCAGGTGCAGTGGCTCATGCCTGTAATCCCAGCAATTTGGGAGGCCCAGAAGGGCAGATCATGAGATCAGTTCTCAGACCAGCCTGGCCAACCTGGTGAAACCCCATCTCTACTAAAAATACAAAAATTGGCCTGGCATGGGGGCACATACCTATAATCCCAGCTACCTGGGAGGCTGAGGCAGGAGAACTGCATACACCCCAGGGGCAGAGGGTGCTGTGAGCTGAGATTGTGCCACTGCACTCCAGCCTAGGTGAGAATGCAAGACTCCGTCTCAGAAAAAAAAGAAAAGAAAGAGAGAGAGAGAGAGAGAGAGAACGAACTAATCTAGCATAGCCTCCTTTGTGCAAAGTTGAGGCATCTGAAGACTAGAAAGGACAAGTGACTCACCTAAGAGGGTAGAACCAGTTAGTGATTTAGCTGAGAATAGAACTAAGTTAAATCACTAAGGGTGCTTTCATTTACTCAGTTTAATTTTCACCATTCCACACTTACCAACCCATGGCAGCTCTCACAGGTCATAACTCGACGCAAAAAATGAAAGCTGAGTTTAAACTGAAGTTTTAAAACATTTATTATTTCTTCCCCCCATTGTTTTATAAAGAAAGTTTAAGTGGAAGCGTATTTATAGAACTCGACCAGTCTAGACAAGCAAGGGGATGGAAGAGACAGGACTGTGGAATGTTTTTAAGGCAAGACCATCCTTAAAATTTTAAGTACATTCTCAAACATAAACGAAGTGCTCTTTCTGAGTTCTTAAACAGATATGCTTCATCTCTGATCCAATGAATTAGCAAGAGTTTGCCTGTGATGTGCACATTAATTGCTAGCATGTAAAAGGAAGTGTGGGTAAAGTATTTGAAAGTGGCTCTGCCCTATAAAAGATTAAAAGTTTCCCCTAGAACTTGGTTTACATTAATAATTGGCTTAGTAAATACTTTCAAGTAGACAGGGCAGAGATTGTCTTACATTATTTTAAAACCAAATAAAGTTCCACAGAAGTCCTATGGAAACCATTTACTTCAATATTTTCATCACAGAGAGGAGGAAATTGAGGCTCAAAGAGATTGGCTGATTTATCAAACATTAGTAAGTGGACTGGTTGGGGCAAGGGACAAGATGTCTTACTCCTGAGCTATTCTTCTTTCCAATACTCAGAGTGTCCCCTATCAATGTCCCTTGTATATAGGAGGCATTCAATAAATGCTTGGTGATTGACTTCATAGACGATGGGTAATTAATTTCATAGATAACCAAATTAGATGGTGAAGCTTCTATCCTTTTGTAAATTAAAACAGAAGTTAGAATCACATCTTTAATTGAACATCAGCTGAGCGCACTGGCTTAGGAGTCAGAATGAAATTCCAATCCTTGCCTTCACCACTTCCTAACTGTGTGATCTTGGACAAGTGTCTTCACATCTCTAAGCCCCAGTTTTCTTCTTTGTAAAATAAGAAAAATAGGGCTGTGGTTGTGGAGAGGATGAAATGAGTAAAAGATGCAAGGACCTTAGCTCATTTTCTAGGAAAAGCACTAATGGCTTCATAACAAGATGGTTTTCCTCCTAAGACAGAAATTCTGAGGATGTCTGGGGAAGAAGTTTGGAGAGGTGGCTTAAGAAGTGAGTAATTTTTTTTTTTGAGATGGAGTTTCACTCTTGTCGCTCAGGCTGTAGTGCAATGGCATGATCTTGGCTGACTGCAACCTCTGCCTCCCGGGTTCAAGCAATTCTCCTGCCTCAACCTCCCGAGTGGCTGGGATAACAGGTATGTACCACCACGCCCAGCTAATTTTTTTGTATTATTAGTAGAGATGGGGTTTCACCATGTCTGCCAAGCTGGTCTTGAACTCCTGACCTCAGGTGACCTGCCTGCCTTGGCCTCCCAAAGTGAGCCACTGCCCCAGCCGAGAAGTGACTATGAAAGACAAGTACTACTTCACATAAGAGCAGTGAGCATCCAAAAAGAGTTAGGGAAATCTAAAGCTGCAAAGGTCCTAAGGATCACATGGGCTTGAACCACTGTTCTGCCTCAGGAAATAAGATAAAAACAAGTGCTGTTACTGTTGATGTTCACTTTCCAGCACAATTTTTGTGCAAATCCCCAGGACTGTGCCCAACCCCCATCCAATCTACTATAACTTCACTCCCGATTCACCCACTGAAAAAGCAATCAAAATGCATACATTGTCTTCAATTTAATAGAAAAAGAAAATCATTAGCAAACTTCAGTTATCCTACTTACGTTAGTAATAAATGATTTTCTCACTGTTGCTCTCACCCAACCTCCTTCATTTACCATTGGAATGACTAAGATTAAGACAGGCTTAAGATCACACATCAGATTTGTCACCAAATCCAGGTCTAATGGTTCCTTGCCCGTTGCTCTTCTCAGGATATCAGCTCTACCATGTTAAGACAAATCTACACCCAATGGTGGGTTTCAATCCCTAGAATGAGTTTTGCTGTGATGAACCTTCCCTTTCCTGTCCAAGCCTCTCTGACCTGCCTCACGTTCCTCCAAAACCTACCCACTTAACAAACTCCCCATTCAGAGAGTGCACTTACGTGTCTACGAATTTCCTGTTGAGATGTAGGATGGAAGCCACATCTGCTTGGAGAGGAGGGTCCCGGACCACCTTATACTGCAGGGGCTTACACTGTAGACAGAGTGGGGTGTCTGCAAGGGAGGTCAACATGGCAGCATCAATCTCCAGGTGCTCATCCAGCGTATAGATTTGGATGCCGTACACCTCCTCACCCATGTCCTGGAGTCTGATGGTTAGTGGGATGTCACAGAAGACATTCTGAGGACCCAGGGAGATGTTCTTCCCACTGACAGTCAACAGTTTGATGTCATTGACAGCTCCATTGGGGTCCCAGTCAGTGGAGACAAAGGTCACCCAAATGGTCAGAGACTCAGGGACCAAGGGGTAGAGGAATTCCAGCTCCAGGTAGCAGCCTTGTGGCTCAGGGCAGGCTGGAGGAACCGTGTGTGGGTTGACAGCTGCATTTGGGCTCCAGGTGCGGACATTGGACTTACAGGGCTGTTCAACATCAGGATGACCTATGGAGAAGAGATGAGGGAATGAGTTCTTGAGGAAAGAGCTTTATTCTCATCCATAGTGTTTCCTGTGGACCCCAGGAGAAACTGGCCTGACTAGAACTTTAGACGGACGGGAAAAAGGGAGGAAGGTTTTAGTATCTTGGTATATCTGCTAAATACACAGCATCCACCTCATCCCCATCCTTGCGATACAGATTTCAGATGAATCACCAGACATTCAGTCACACTGCTTTCGTCTCACTATCGAGTTGATGTTCAAACTTTCCTTCCTCGTCTTCTACTTGGAGGCTGTGCTGCCTAAGATGAAAATAAGTAAAGGGTACACATTGGCTAAACACCCACTGCATTCCCTGAACTTCTTTAATTCTTGCAAGAACTTATTTAGGAGGTGAGAAAACAGGCTCCCAAATATAGAGTGAATCGATCAGGTTCATGCAGCTTGAAGTATAAACGTCAGCATTAGAACCGAGTTTTGCCCCTTTTTGAAATCTGTACTGTTTGTCTATTGGATGTAGGGGACATTAGAATAAATTAGAATCCCTGTAGTATTACTACCATTGGTAAAACCCACTTGGACTGACAGAAATCCGGACATCCACCCCGCCCACCAGCAAAGAATATGTGAGCATAAATAGCATCCACCCAACTGAGGACCTGGGAGGAAACCGTCTAGAATCATGAACAACAGAGCTGGAAGGCAGCCTTGGAGCCCTCTCATCTCTCCTCCTCCCCTTCTCTACATGCAGTCATTCCATACCACTGAGCTGCTCCACGCTCTGTTCTGTCTGACTCAGGAAGAGGAGGGTTGGGTGAGGAGCAGGGAGAAGGAAGGAGGGATTCCTCTCCTCTTTCCCTAGGGAGATGATGCCTCATCCCCATTGATTTCAGCCTGCAGCAACTTCTGAATTTTTTTCTGCTGAGATCACATCTAGACCCCCAGAGAGCTCTTCCTTGTACTACTGAGAAAAAGAGCCAGGACTCAATGGGGTGATTAGCTCTAATTTGTTTAAGGGAGCCTCATGAGAAATACAGACCAGACAGTAAGATGAAGGACCTCAAGTTGTCCAATGAGCCACCTTAAAAAAAAAAAAAGAGAGAGAGAGATGGAGTCCTGCTCTATTGCCCAGGCTGGAGTGGAATGGTCTGATCATAGCTCACTGCAGGCTGAAACTCCTAGGCTCAAGTGATCCCCCTGCCTCAGCCTCCTGAGTAGCTAATATAGGCATGTGTCACCATGCCCACCTAGCCACATTCTTTTTTCTTCAGCATCAGTGGTACGTTGGGAGGGTGGTGGCAACCCTGGATATTTCTGAAGCAAATAAGAAAAAAAAAATAAAAGATATTTGCTTTAAAATGCTTTGTGGTAATATTGCAGTGTAATATGAATCACTATAATGTTAATACTAGAAAGTTATTTGGATTGAAAAATCTATGCCAGTAAAGGCTGTAAATGTCTCTAACCTCCTTGCCTCTGCTTAGCTAAGGAAAGAGAGAAGCCACCAAGTGCAGATGGAGAAGAGAAGAGTGAAAGAGAAGGAGGGTCAAGAAAATATACAGAAACTTCTTAGACATAATGCATCAGAGGAAGAGAAGATGGATTTAATTACAAGATTTCCTCTATCTCTCCTTGGCTAGTTTCATTTATTATTTGCAGCAACTTCTGGCTCAAAGCAGCCCTTAGTTTAGGGGAAAAACACAAGTAGGACTTCCCACCTAGCTGAAGCCTTTCTTTTCGTCTACTTTCCAACCCACTGAGTTCCTGACTCTCTTAACTTTGTGGGATGTTGACACACATGTGTCACTTATTCATTCAGTCAACTTCATTGAAGGCAGCACTTTACAGTATATGAAACACATCTCCTAGTCATTAGTTAAAATATCTGATTGTCATCAAAATCCTGTAGAGAGTTGTCATTTTTGCCTCTATTAAAGAGCAGTGTTTCACTCAATGCCATGTAGCTTTTGCTTAAAACAGTGTGCCTGGTCCACAGAAAATTCACAGAGTGGATGCTATAAATTAAATATTTGTTAAAGGAAGGACCTTTTATCCTGTTAATATCAAGTGAAATACAGCATGGAACATCAGAGAATGCTTCCTGATGGTGGGTGCCAGGTGAACATTCCACCCCTCCATGGGCTTTCTCCTGCAGCTGCCAAGGGATAACGTAATCTTTCTTCCTTCCCTGGAGAAAATGACTGTCAGTGGTAGGAAGCCACAGGAGGGCAAAGATGACAAATATGCTGGCTCATCCTTCCTCCCTAGTTTCTTGTTCATTAACAGAGGGACCAAATACTTCCAAAGGACAAGAAGGTGAGTCTGGTCATTATGCTCAAGCAAGTAAACAGGAGTAGAAATCTTAACAAAGTTTGTGGTTGCCTGGTTATTAGAGGCAAACCCTTAGATGTAAAAAAGGAGTCCCAAGAGGCATTGGGTGTAACCATAACCAAAACAGCAACCTCATTAATAATGCCAGCCTTCACGAATTGCCCATCCTCAATGTGGAGGCACTGTGCCAAGCACATTACACGCCTCAGGTCTTTTTACACTGGCACTAAGTCTGTGATGCAGGTCGTATGAAATTCATTTTACAGAAAAGGAAACTGAGACTCAGATGGTTTAGAAATTCCCTGGAAGGGAGTAGAATATGATATTGTAGGTCCAGGCAGTACGCCAGGCTTTGAAGCAACGAAAGTTGGGTTAAAATATCAGTTATAGAGTTTCTCATTGTGTTACCTACTGTAATGTTACCTACCTCAGGATGGCTGGAAACCTTGAATAGGATGAGCTCTTTAATTGATGCTCATAAATACATTAGCCCTGTCCTGGAAAGTAGGGAGGTATTAACAAGGAAAAAATGTTGGTAAGAGGAGGTATTCCAAGCGAGATAACAGCTGGGAGAGAGTGTAAGTTAAGGTGACTATGGTTTTGAGTGCACTTGTAGGGCAACAAGTGCTGAGGCTGGTGAGCTAAGTGGAACCAAGACTGTGAAGTGGCTTGTATGCCACATGAAGGAAACTGAACTTTATACTGAAATAGTTGAAGAGCTACTGAGAAATTTTGAGCAAATGAGTGAAATCGGAGTCGCCTTTTAGAAAAACCACTGTTGGCTGAGTGCGGTGGCTCATGTCTGTAATCCCAGGGCTTTGAGAGGCCGAGGTGGGTGAATCACTTGAGGTGAGGAGTTCAAGCCCAGCCTGACCAACATAGCAAAACCCCGTCTTTGCTAAAGATACGAAATTAGCTAGGTGTGGTGGCGCATGCCTGTAATCCCAGCTACTTGGGAGGCTGAGGCAGGAGAACTGCTTGAACCCAGGAGGCAGAGGTTGCAGTGATCCCAGATTGTGCCACTGCACTCCAGCCTGGGCAACAAGAGTGAAACTCCGTCTCAAAAAAACAAAAACAACTACAACAAAAAAAACTACTGTTTAGAGACACAAACACTATTCATCCATCCATCCAGCCATCCATCCAGCCAGCCATGCATCCATCCAACCATCCTTCCACCCATCCATGCATTCAAAGAGTAACTATTGAGTGCCAGGTGTGTGTCCAAAGGTCGGCTAAGCTCCAAGAGAATAGATTTTCCAACATGATCTCTGTTCTCAGGGAGCTTTTAGTCTTGTGAGACCATTTAGGAGAGTATTGCACCAATGCAGACGACATATGGACTTCAAGAAATCATGCAAAGAGACGGCAAGTCAGATTTCCTAAGGAGAAAAAATGAACACAGCTGGATGATTGATTGGACACGTAGTTGCAAGGTGAGGATGGGAGCTGAGAAACAGAAACAGAGAAAGAAAGGAGAGAGATAAGGAAGGGGGAGTAGGAAGGGTGTAAGGAAAGAAAAGAATGAACACAGAAGAAAAGAAAAATAAGTGCAAAAGCCCTGTTGCTTCATTATTAATAGATACCTTTTGTGTATGTGATGATTAAATGAAAAGTTACATGTTTATATAGGCTGTCCACTAGAAATAAGGTCATATATGTGTATAGACATATATATTTACACACATCATGTCAATCTACATTTACATTTGTGAAGCACTATATAGGCACCCATTATATATCTTTGTATACATACACTGCAGCTGTTGACACAATATAAGTTCTAAAAACTTGGCACCAAGCTTTTTTCCAGGTAAATAGTTAAGCACACCTGAAACATTCTGGGCAGAAAAGTAGAGAAAACACACAAATGAGAAAAAAGTGAAAACAGTGCCATGTGTTAATCTCTCATGGAAAACCCAACACTTGGGATCTATTTTATACTTACATAAGTGATCTTAACTGGGATTTGAATCGATCAAATCAAGAAAGGTATTTAATTTCTAGGCTACAGATATAACATAGCATCAAATACCTCAAAAATATTCATGTATGAAATAACAGTTTTTGCTAAGGGGTAGGAGCGCAACCACTATCTGTGAACAAAGGCAAGAAGGTTCTATGCCTATATTTACCTTCTTTGAAATGAAGCTAATGAGATGTAATAGATTTCCAATGAAGATTTGTTAAATGGAGAATCTTCTATCTAGTTTATATGGGATAAAAACAATTTGCAGCTCCATGGAATATTAGAGCTGGAAATGACGTTATGGTTCAACTTTTCATTCTGTGGATACAATGTCATTTTCAGAGAAGCTATGTGACTCACTCAAGGGAACAGAATACATCAATAGTAGGGCTGAGATCACATTCCAGTCCTCCTCTTTTTCCTCCCTTGCATCCCCCGATGTTTTTTTTTCCCAACCCTACAGATATGTCTGGCATTGCTCATGAATTTAAAAGTTTTAAGTTAGTTTGGGAAGTCTAAAAACTTAAACATGCAAAGATAAATAGGATGAGAATGAGTTGAGAAATAAATTGCAGAATTTGGCTCATGGAAAAGTTTATTTCTTCAAGGATATTAAAAGGGTCTGAGCCAAAAGGATCACAGAGACTGTAATAGGATGCTCTAAAAAAAGAACAGTGTCTTTTCCTGGCCTGCATGTACTAAATTTACATAGAAGGAAAACCCAAGGCTGCTGGGTTTCCTTGGAGCTCCGAGTTGGCTCAGGGAACCAGAGACCTCAGTGCCTCTCGCTGAACACCATTCTGCAGATCATACTTTAAAAAGGTCAAGAACAAACCAGGAGTGAACTTTATCAACTGATAATTGCGTTGGATGGAGGTGTGGGGAGATGTCTGGAAATAATTTTACTCAAACAAGTGGTAGAACAAAGCAAGATAATTTTAGCCAGAGACATGTCAGGGGAGAGTCTTGTTAATTCTACCTTCCACGTACCTCTCAATCTCAAAAACTTCTCTCCATTCTCACAGCCACTGACCTCACCAGGCCACCATCAATCCTCCGCTGGATTTTGGCAACAGCCCCCTTGGTGCTTCCCTTCCTCCAGCATCCAAATCCCCTGGATCTCTTCTTCACAGAGCAGCCTGAGCAATCTTTATGACACACAGGTCTTACCATATACCATGTCCTCATAAGGCACGTGGTTTTCTCACTGCCCTCGGTGTGAATCTAAACCCATCCTCACCTGGCCATTGTCCATCTTACCCATCTTACCTCTTGCTTACTTGTAAGACACTTAAAGGAAGGGCCTTATGATCGCCACTGTTGTGGGTTCCACCCACTATCAGACTCTTCCCTGCTCAGGGGTGTCTCCCAGGCTTCCCAAGGAACCAAGCATCACTGTGCTTGTTAATTCTACCTTCCAAGCACCTCTCAAACATGAAAACCCACCTCTGCCTTGTTTTTCATGTCTGCACCTACTTAAACTCTTAGAGCTATACTGAGCTTTTGCTTATACAGGTTGTATCTATTAGTGGTTCCTGTATTATAAACTAAAGCTATGACGTTTTAAAATTCAGTAAAACATAAGAGTGTGTTCCATTAGCTATCAGAGAACAAATGACATCCCATGTCATGTGTCTATCAGATAACTCCGCTGGACTCTCATGAGAGAATGAGAGTGGAAAAAGCAGATGATGTCATATGTATTATGAAAATACTTTTGCCTTTGAGGACACCCTAAAAAAGCCTCCAGGAACCCCATAAGCCTCTGAACTAGATTTAGAAAACAGCCACTCTGTGAACATACGAAGCTTCTTTCACATTCTCACATGCACCTTGTTAATAGTGCTGTGATATTTTGTGGGAAGACTGAGTCTCCAATTCTGCATGAGGTCCCCTTCGTATGGGCCCCCAGCATTACTTGGCACTCCTATTACCATAAGCCTGTTCTCACTCAATGCCAATTGCCCATTTACTTATCTGACTTCCCTAGCAGACAGTCAGCACCACCTTGCCCACGTGCCCGAGACAGTGGCCAGCATATAGTGCCTGTGTTTGTCACTAGTGAGGCGGGCTCACTAGATACAAGTATGCAAAATGCTGTCAGGTGGCAGAGACACACATTCTCTGTGACAACCCAAAGTGGGTTCAGTTTGGGTGGAAAAATTACAATTGCAGATTTCAAGGACTTTCTAAAAAAACTGGAGCTTGAACAGGCACCAGGAAACCTCAGTGAGGATTTAGCACATAGAGGGGATTCCTGCACCTGGGGGGAGCCCAGGCCAGATGACCCCAGGCATCTCTCTCAGGTCTGACAGCCTGTGAATCTGTGAGGCTGAACTGAGGGCTTTTCCCAGACATCCCTCTTGCTTTACATTCCAGATGGATTTGTTTAGACTTCCCAAGTTTGACTCTCATTTTTATTTTAAGCTACTTTAAAAAATAAAGTGCAGGGCCGTCGTTTCACTTTCCTCTCTGATCCTTCCCCCTTGCTTTATTCTATCTCTGGCTTTTTCTTTTCAACCTTCTTTCTAAAAATATAGAGGATAGCGGAGGAGTTCTCACTGGTGTTCAGTGAGAAGACTGATTCCGCTCCCTCTGATGCGCTGGTGTAATAGTGTCCTCACCCAGTGACTGCTGGCATGAGCTGACCTGCAGAGGAGCAAGAGGGACCAGCTGGGGGCAGGGTCTATGTGTACATCCCCAAGGACCAGGGATGGGGAGACGGAAGACTAAGAGGAAAGTATGGAGCCTCTGCCAGTCTGGTTCTGAGGCCAAGTGACAAAGTGTGACAACAAGCATTTGGCAAAAGGTATTCTCTTAATTCCAATGATGATGTAAGAAAGCATAGAGATCATTGGTTCCTTGGGAAGCCTGGGAGACACCCCTGTGCAGAGAAGAGTCTGACAGTGGGTGGAACCCATAACAGTGGCAATCATAAGGCACTTCCGTTAAGTGTTTTACAAGTAAATAGATCCCAAAAAGAGGGTATATGGAAGAAATTAAAAGGAATACTTGCAACACATGTGAAAGTGCTCTGTGGAGTCTAAGAAGTAACAGAAGAAGAATCAAAGACTACTGATGTCTCGAAGCCCCAAAATATTTGTATTGACTCTAAAGTGGCCTTGTTTGTAACCACAAGCATTAGGGGTCTGAAGGATATATAAATACCCCATTTATATATCCCATTTAAAAAATGGGATCTATTTTTTTAAATGGGGGACATTGTGTTTTTATCAGGTGCGTGGCCTTGGCACTTGTTAATATCTTAGTGCCTTTGTTTTCTCATATACAATGTGAGAATAACATATGAGAATATGGCAGGTGCTCAAAAAGTATTTGTCAAATGGGTAAGTGCTTGCCTACTAACCTTGCAAGATGATGTTAATCAAATCAAATGTTACATGGGAAAGACCAGTAAAAATCATAAAACTCCATGAAAGAGCTGTTCTTTGCACACTCCACCTGTCAGTGAGCTTCCACAAGGCTGGCTTACCTTCTGCTTCAGGAGGGCTCCAGTGTCCTGATGGGCTGCAGGGCATTGGGGAGGAGGCATTGAAAGCATACTGCACCAGGATTCTCCCCTCCAGGCAAAGATCACATGCTGATCCCAATTCTCTAGGAGGTCAAGGAAAGAGGGAAAATGCACTGGCTTAGGAACAGTTGAATGGGCAACCGATGGGACTAGGCCAGAGTCAATGGGGCAGAGAACACAGCAAATTTGTGTTTCCCCCCTTTCTCCTACATATGCCAAGGCTTCTGGAAATAACTGTAAGTGAAATGCCTCTCCATTGCCCAGCAAAAGCCTCATTTGGGCCTAAGTGGTTTATGTTCTGATGATATATAGATTCTCTGAATTTTAGCAGCACAAAGTCAACAGGCTGACAACTTACCACCTGCAATAATTTTAATTTTATGGGTCATGTAAAGCTCCACTGAGGATTTGCAATGTCGTTATGAGAAAATCTTTTGCTCCATATCATTCTCAAAGTTTACTCCTTTTACAATATTTATTAGGTACTTACTATGTGCCAGACACCATCCTGTGTTTTAGGCATTCAATATAAAGAGACCATGGTTCTTTCATCTGAGAGTAAGAGGGCTGGATTACATGACGCCTAAAGAACCTTCCAGCCTTGACAGTCTGTGGATGGATGAGTCACTCCTCAATTTTACAGTCAAAAGTAGTTTCTCTACCATGCCATCTAATTGATTTTAGCAGCTTTCCAAGGGGCTAGCCAATTCCTCAATAGGACCTGTCCCAGAAGTGGAATATTATGATGGCTTCCCCTACCAACTTGTCTCTTGTGTATCTGGATTCAATCTTCCTTTGGCTATAGCAGTCTCTGGGATCCTACTCATTTTCCAGACTTGGCATCTGTTTATGAGGCAGTTGTGGAAAAGGGAGAGGAATGAATCTTCTTCTCCTGTCTTATTGTGAACCAAAAACTGCAAATCTGAGTGACCTCTGCAGAGGGACTGGAAACTAAATCCTGAGAAGATGTCAAGAAATGTCCCAGCCCAACCCATTGTTTCTCAAAGTGCAATGATGATAACTCTTTCATCACTCCTGGAAGAATCTCTGGGCTTTGGCTACCTGAAAGGATGCAATGGAGAAACCAGGTCTGAAGTGTTTTACCTTACAGGGGCATTCTCTATGCCTCTAAGCTCACACAGTCAGGAACCACGCGCTTGTGAGCATCACAGTGTGCTGCTGCTCCCCGTTCCTCCTCCACACTGCTGACAGGAGATCATCCTCAAACCTCAGGATGAACAGGTCATGCCCCTGCTTACATCTCTTGCTATCCCCTAATGCCCTGTCATGCGGTGGTCAATGCTCTTTCATACTATCCTCTGCTTCACTCTAGCTTTGTTTCTCTCCATGGTAAGCTCTGCCTATCTATCATGTCATGTCATATTACCCACACCCCCTTTGCAGACTTTTTTCACTTTGGTGATGTTTCTCCTCTTTCAAGTTCACCTGGGACATCATCTCCTTGTAAAGACATGTTTTTTTGGCATGCAAGAGAGTTTTCCCCAACAGATTGTGAGGTCATTGAGGACAAAGTCAGTATCTAATAACTATCACTTTTTTCTCTCAGGGTACAGCACACAATTTGTTTTATAGTGTTGGTCAGTATAAGCAGTTGAATGGATGGATGGATGGATGGATGGATGAATGGATGAACGGATACCAGTCATTTAGACATGTGCTAATACTCATGACTAACCTAGGGAAGACCTTCAAATTGTAGATTTCTGCATTCTCAGCCTTATCATTGTAAATGTGAAACCATCTTGTTTTGCAAGCACACTAATATTAATATTTGGTGATAAGAGAATCATTAAATAGCCCATGGTTAATATGCTTAATGGAATGGCAAGCTGTTATTGCAGAAATATTTATAAAGATTATGCAACTTCATGGAAAATGTATAAGTTATAATATTAAGTAAAAAAGTCATATCCAAATCTAAATCTACAGCAGTATCTCAACATTCAAATAAACTTTTGAATCAAAATATTATCAGGAGGAATTTCTGGGCAATGGAATACAGGATGATTGATCCAACCCTGTATTATTACTCTTCCTGGTTTTCTAAATTTTCTACATATTTTAAATACATGAGTTACTCTTGGAGTAGCAATAACAACAATTATACAAACATATTCATATGCAGAAAAGTAGGAGTGGAGAGAGAGACTTTCTTAGCACTGCTAATGAAGGAAGAGTTCCCTTAGGATGACCACAATCCATGCAAGTGGCTCTGAGTCACATGACTGGATTTAGGTTGACACTGGGATTACAGATGTCCTGGGATGAATTTGGTAACCATGCTGACCTTAGTGGCCATTCATTCTTTCTTTCTGTATCCTTTAGATGTTTTATTTTGGGTGATACACATAAAGCCACCTGAGTTTCAGTGAATTATTGATACATCTTAGGCTCCCAATAAATACTCTGATGAGTGAACAAATCATCAACCAGCTGACAGCAAAGGCATGATGTCCTACACATGTAGGAATTATATGTGTTTCCTACCTTTGGCATTCATTTTCTCTTCATGGATACTTATATCTACACATAAACATACACAAACATAAACAATGAAATCATAGACATGCAGGATACCAAAGCTGGGAGAGCTCATCTTTCTTACTTGGGTTTCATGAAAATCAAAGCTTAAAGCTCTAAGTATGGGCTGTCCAATATGGCAGCTATTAGTCATGCGTGGTTATTTACATTTAATTTAATTAAAATTTTAAAAATTTTGAAATTTGATTCTTCAGTCACATCAGTCATGTTTCAAACCCCAGTTGGCTAATGGCTATAATCGTGGTGTTAATATTTCCATTATTGCAGGAAATCCTATTGGACAGTGCTTCTCTAAGGCATCCATTGTATATAATGAATTAACTTGTCTCCTATGAAACTAAAATGGTACTTATTGTGTAGCATCTTTGGGAGAAATTAGGAAACAGTTATTCAAATCATTTTCCTTGTCTTAAAATGTAGAAGAGGAACCTTGGTTGAGAAAGGCTAGGACATCTTTGGCTTACAGATCAGAAAGCTGGGGCCAAAGGCAGAGGGAATGGACGAGGTCACAAAGACTTCAGACCCAGGTCTCTTGGTTTTCTGTCCAGTACTATTTCCAACACACCATGGTCAATTGTTCAGATAACTGAAACCACTCAGTCAACATGTGTTTGCAAGACAGATAAAAATAAAAATAAAGGAGTTAGGAAGACTAGGGGTGGCCTTAAATTATGTATTCCGTTGTCCATGTGTGAGGACACAGGCTGTGGGAGGATCTGAATATGTTTTTTAAGGGAAATGCTTGCATTCTCTTAGACCACAGATGTGAGAACAGCAGGAGGACATGAGGATGGCCAGGGTGAGAGGCTGGCAGTGATGGATATACTGGAAAACACCAGAGGCTTTGCAGGGAAAGGGAATTTTCAAGTAGCTAAATAGCTCTGGAAAATGTTGCACAAATGGGAGTTGATATTCCTTGAACACAGAGTGTGTGTGCTTCATGTTCCACAGTTACTTTGCTGAAAGCCAGGCAACATGGACATGGTTAGCACATTTTGATGGAGGAAGATTCAGAGGATCAGAGGTGAGATAGCTTTGCCCAAGGTCCTGTTAACCGGGAGTGATAAAGCTGAGAACGGGAAATGGATGACCTGACATTAAAGCTTTTACACTTTCTACTAAGCCAATTTGCATGAGTATAAATTCCGTGTGTGTGGGAGAGAGACATATATGAAAGACAGTTCCATTTCTTTACAACAATTTACTGAACTTGTGGACTGACTTCTTTTAGCCATAGACTATGGTCAACATAGCTGCTAACCCTAATTAGATATGTTTTGGAAATATCAGTTTTAATTTAATATATGATAACTATGTTATGAAATCTTAAACTGCACAGAATGGCTATCGTATGAGCCTCAAGAACCGACTGACTATATGTTATTAAAAACATATTGATTGAAGCTAAGGACACTATGTAACAGAGACATATCTCATTATACAACAATTAACCCTCCAATAGGTTTCCAACAATCAGGTGCATTTATTTAATGGATAGTAACTGCTTTGTGAAATATAAATTAAATACATACACATGAAGCTTCCTTTACAAAACTTCCACTTTTAAGTGGAACAGAGACCAAGGCTTGACCAAACGTCCGATACTTCTCATCACCACAGAAAAAATAAATAATTCTATGCGTGTCTTGAAGTGTATATTTAGATCCTTTGCCAAATATGTCTTTTATACGCACACAAATGCAGACAAATACACTTGCAAATAAGAATTTCTTGCTTCTTTTTGTGGCTTTTTTTTTTTTTTTTTTTTTTTTTTTTTTTTGCAGCAGGGGAGGTGTAATGCCTTTTCTCTAATTCTAGCTTTGAAGCAACTTAATGAAAGGACATAGGAGTCTAAGATAAGACACTACAAAACAGGAGCTGAAGCCCAGTCCCCACCACTTTCTGTCACCTTTCAGCCTCTTTTAGCTCCAATTCTCTTCTTATCTAGTAAATGAGGAAGATGATTTGTGTTATACAACATTACCAGAAAGATTAAATAAAATTCTGTATATGACATTTAGTATAGAATCCATCACAAAGTAAGCACTTGATAGATCCCAGCAACTAGAATAAAGTAATATTAATTAATTATTAGCATAGTTATTATTTTTACCATCATTAATATTGTAGCATCAATACTAGATAAAGCATCCCAAAGAAGGGCTGGGAGTAGAGGTAATACACTAATCTTCCCTGAATTATGGCGAAATTCCCAAGTAGATGCAAATACCCTGGTCTATTTTCACGACACTTTTAAATCTGGTCCCCTTAGAGCTTGAGCTCATCAAGGAGTCTATATGGGGGAAGGTATCACAAGAGACCATTTGATGCAGGTCTCCACCTTCAAGCCACTGTAGTATCATTAGACCCAGTTTCCAAGTAAGGGAGAATGAGGCTCAGAGACAGAAAGTGACTTGCTCAAGGTCATATGATTAATTAATGAACAGTCAGGGCAGCAGACTAGAGGTGTCTTGTGCCTCAGTTTAGCATTCCTAAGTCTTAAAAAAGTTCTACCTTTAGTTCTACAAAATTAAAACATTTGGAACAGTCAAAAATTGTGTTTATATGTACATATATTCATATATGTAAATATGTACTTATATACACACATGTGATACACACATAAATATATATATATACACACTCCATATGTAAAACATGATATGATATAATATAATATAAAATAATTAAAATGATATAAACCTTTTTGCCCATTAACCAGGGGCAATCACAAATCCTGAGCTCATAGAGAGAAGACTAGGACCTCCATCCCAGAGGAGGGCGGTAGCAAAAGAGGGTTCCAGGTTTCTAATAACAAAGTGAATCTTAGCACCCATTCACTTAAAAATATTTGTTACTATTTATTTGTTTCTATTAGCAATCATCTTTATTACCTGACCCTAAATTTACAACATGCTTATATGTGCCAGTCACTGTGCTAGGTGGCAGAGATGTCTTTTGAACAATAGCAAGAAATACTACAAAATTCCCCTCCAAGTCTGCTTCCCTTCCAAGTTTCCCTCTTCTTGGTAGGAGAGAGAGAAGGGAATCAGCGCTACACAGAATACACTCACCTTTCAAAGAAATGGCCATCTATGGGTGGGAACCACTCCAGTGTCACAGAGTCCGTTGTGTGACCCACAACTTGGGGGGCGAGGGGAACAGGCGCCGGTTTCCTGGAGGGCTGCCAGCTCTGGTAGATCAGGTCCAGGTAACAGTGCATTCTAGCGACTTGATTGGGCGTGAAGGAGTCTGTACAGTCGTCATCTGCAAGCAAGCAGAGGGAGAGATAAGCACCAAGCCGCGAGGGTGGGCAGGTATGCGAGAGAGTTATGACGGCTCCCGGTGGCGCAAGAGCCAGCACCCAAGTTGTTCCTTGCCAACTCAGGGCTGGCCTCTTCCAGCGCTCAAGAGTTAATGGCCTGTGAACAAATTAGTGTAGTCATCACTTCTGGAGACAGGTGAGAGGAAACAGGAGGGAGGGGAGGGTGGATGGAACTGAAAAAGTATGGCTGAGATTGGAAGACAGCAGCCCAGAGGTCATGGCAAAGGACACAGGCAAGATGAACTATTTTCCACGGGCCTCGAATCCACTGGGCACTAAGTCAACAATTCCTTTACTCCCTCCCTCCTTCACCCTCCACTCAGTATCCCTCATTTATTTATCCATTCATTCATTCACTTGTTCATCCACTCACTCATTTACTCATTCTTTGATGCACTCACTGGTTCCAATTCATTCCTTTACATTCTTTCACCCATTCATTCATTAACTTCACTATTAACTGATGCAGTGATACTGCCTTTCAAACAAACCTTCTGAGTGTCTACTACATTTCTGCTCTGTGCCAAAGGGCGTAAAAAGATGAAACTTTAAAAGTTCCTGCCCATGAAGAGGTACCAGTCTAGTTAATGGAGTCAAGATCAGTCCAATGTATGAATCAAGGCTCTTACAAGGCTGCTAAAGTCTGTGATGTCAATCACTGATAAAGGGAGGAAGACTGCATGGGTTGGGTGGGGGAGGCAGGAGAAGGCAGGAGAACAAGAAGGCTTCTAAAGAAGGGGATTGTTAGGCCTGGTGTGGTGGCTCACGCCTGTAATCCTAGCACTTTGGGAGGCCAAGGTGGGTGGATCACCTGAGGTCAGGAGTTTAAGACCAGCCTGGCCAACATGGTGAAACCCAATCTCTAAAAAAATAGAAAGAAAAAGAAAAAGAAAGAAAGAAAGAAAAGAAAAGGAGATTGTTGAGGTTGATCAGATCGCATGGCTAATATTGGAAAAGAAAGGAGAGGGATTGCAGGAGAAAGTGCTGCATGACTACGGAGGCTTGGTGCCTTAGGCAGAGAGCACAGACCAGGGAGTCAGGCAGACCTGGGAACAAGCCAGGGCAGTGTGTGTGCGGAAAACATGAGCAGGACCATCTCCCCTTGGTGCTGCCATTGGTGCGCAATGCTTCAGACACGTTTCCTTCCCTTCTCACAAGTTTTGGAGCATGTACTACTATTTTCCTTATCTTACAGAAGAGGATATTAAAGCTGAAATAAGGTAAACAACTATTTCAAAATCACAAAGCTGGGGATACAACTGGGATTTGAACACAGGCAGTCCTGACTTCAAGGCTGTGCTTCTGATCAATATGAGAACTTATTTTCAAGCATAAATGAGATGCTGTATGGATATAAAATCCTGCAGGTCGTTGATAAATGGGAGTTGAGCCTGAGTAAGGGAGCTTGGAACATAATGTCTCAGGTGTCTTTAGATCTAAGGACCTTTGATCCTACTCTCCCCTTTCCAGGGTGTGACCTAAGACCTGGCCCTGAGGGAGAACACTTGTTTCCCATTTCTCCCTCCAACAGTTTTATTTAACTGCCCCAGGGGAGCAAAGGCACCATTTTGGCTTGGTTTCCAAAAACACCACTTTCCAGAGGTGTCCACCCAGTCAGGGAGCCCGTAGCTAGGCCCCAGACAGAGGAGCAGAGGGCTCTTCTGATCTTAAAATAAACCGGCTACTGGGAATCCTGTAGTATATACTGGTTTCTTCTTATTAAACAAACATTAAATACATTTGGGCAGGTGCTGGACAGTTAGATAGGGTCTTGAGAATCCATCTTAGGAAAGGGGCTGGGGTGTGAGGGAAGTTCTACACAGAAGCTACCTTAAATCCCCTTAGTAATCTTTGCCAATCTCCCTTCCAGCACCCCAGGGAAGTCTTTAACATATCTGAAGAAGCAGAAGAGCCCACTGTCTCTTAACAAACACAGTATAGTGACTAATCCAGTAACCAGATGCCACCATTTAACTCCTGAATACCAAACATTCTACGGCTCCCTATTGCGGGGAGGGGAAAAATCCTCAGTCTGAAAGGGCCAGATCATTCCATACTTTTTTCTTTGTTGCCATGAACTTTGCACTTCATCTTGAAAGCCTTGGAAAAGACACCCAATCGGTCAGATGCAGGAGGGCATGATGGCTAAGGGAAGTGTGGCCATGTGATTAGATCAGGGCACATAGAATCTATGGACAAGTGATTTTCTGCCCCCAGTTACCCCATCCGTGAAGTGAAGACAGTGATGATAACACGATTGCTCATCTCAAAACACGGCCAAGGTGCAGGGGTGTGCAGGGATGTGGGGCACTAAGAGCGATGCCTGTCCTATGATAAATGCTAGTAAAAGGGAATTGGGAATAGTACGTGTGTTGGCATGTGTGCGTGTATGCTTGTGTGTGCTTATTATATGTGAGTGTTGGAAAACTAAAAGCAGGAAAAAAAATACAGAATATAAAATATTCATTCTCTTTGATCTAACAATAAGGAATTTATGGATTCAAAAGATAGATAGTCTTGGATAAACATGGGTAAAATATACATACAAGGATGTTTCTTGAAGCATAATTTATAATAGTGAAAATATTAGAAATAACACATCTGTCCATTCATAGGGAAATGGCTGTGCACTTTAAGGCACAGGCATAGAACAGAATACTAATCAGCCTTGATCAAAACATGAGATAACTTTAAGACTCAATTCCCTCATGTATAAATTGGGAGCATTTAAATAAACGCCAACCCATGGAATTGTGAGGACTCAATGAGCAAGGGCACAAAAAGCATTTACCAAGATGAATGATGCTGAAAAATAGTAGTTTTTTTCACTGTATAAACTTCTATTTTATTTGCCTCCCCCACCCCGCCAAGTGTATTTTTTTAATAACTTAAAAAGTAACCATTTTCATATTTGTCAATAAAAAGGAAGTTTGAAAAAAAATGGATAGGTGATGGAACCTGATAAGGAGACAGAAATGTATTTGAACTTTAAAATTGAAATCAAAATCTATCCCAGGGGTCTGTTGGGGGGAAATAGGGGCGGGACAGCAGGGGGTGGGGAGTTGGGGAGAGATAGCATGGGGAGAAATGCCAGATACAGGTGAAGGGGAGGAAGGCAGCGAATCACACTGCCACGTGTGTACCTATGCAACAATCTTGCATGTTCTTCACATGTACCCCCAAACCTAAAATGCAATAAAAAAAATCTATCCCAGGGTACATTACTTGGAGACTTCGCAGCTATCAGAATCTTGGGAGAGGTACCAAAGGGTTTTCATTTATCACAAGCTCTGTCTCAATTAACTAATGTCTAGAGTCAGCCCTACGTGTCTTCCTTCCCTACCAATGCCTCCCCTCTCAATATCTATGGCCACTTCATCTGGTCTCTCCTCTTGTTCTTCTGTCTGCATCTTGTCCCAAAGCAGAAGGAACTTTGGGACTTCAGCACTGATAAGCCCCAGCCAGTCCCCATGCTGTTGATACAGTACCCTGGGTTTAGTTTGCTAACTGAATCTCGTTCTCAAGAACAAACGTTAGCCTGTGACTGAAAGGCCACACTGGATGGAGGTTCAAGGCATGAACTCCATGGCTTCACTCCAAGTGGGACCTTAGGCACAATGTTGACCCCCTGCCAACCACATTTTCACCCACCACAAAATGAGGAATAAGATGTCACCTGCCTCATAAAGCTGATGAGAGCATTTAACAAGCTAACTAATGTCTAGTGAATGGATAACTAAGTTGCCTTGTGTAAAACTCCCTGTCTTTTTGTTGTTTTTTAAAAATAATGTTAATAATAATAGTCATAATAATAAATGTAGATAACAAATTTGTAATAAAATATTCACTGTAGAATATCTGGAATATGTCAAAAATGTTACAAAGAAATAAGCATTACTCTGAACTCATTACTGATAGATAATAAAACTGATGTCTAATGTATACGTGTGTATATGTATGTATATAGATGTGTTTGTATATGGATGTAAATATCTTTAGTAGATTTCTGTAATTCTTATCATCACATACACATATACAGGTCTTATACTGCATATATGTATGACTTTCTGACCTTTTCACATTAAATAGTCAACAAATAATCCTACTAATCATCCTTTACTGAGCACTAATTATGATACCAAGGATAATTTTTTTTTTTTTTTTTTGAGACGGAGTTGTTTCGCTCTTGTTACCCAGGCTGGAGTGCAATGGCGCGATCTCGGCTCACCGCAATCTCTGCCTCCTGGGTTCAGGCAATTCTCCTGCCTCAGCCTCCTGAGTAGCTGGGATTACAGGCACGTGCCACCATGCCCAGCTAATTTTTTGTATTTTTAGTAGAGACGGGGTTTCACCATGTTGACCAGGATGATCTCAATTTCTTGACCTTGTGATCCACCCTCCTCGGCCTCCCAAAGTGCTGGGATTACAGGCGTGAGCCACTGTGACTGGCGAGTTTTTTTTTTTTTTTTTTTTTTTTTTTTTTTTTTAACTTTCATTTTAAGTTCAGGAGCACATGTGCAGGTTTCTTACATAGGTCAACTTGGGTCATGGGAGTTTGTTTTATAGATTACTTCATCGCCCAGGTATTAAGGCCAGTACCCATTAGTAATTTTTCCTGATCCTCTCCTTCCTCCTACTCTCCACACTTTGATAGACCTTAGTGGGTGTTGCTTCCCTCTATGTGTCCATGTGTTCTCATCATTTAGCTCCTACTTGTAAGTGAGAACACACAGTGTTTGGTTTTCTGTTCCTATGTTACTTTGCTAAGGAAAATGCCCACCTGCTCCATCCATGTCCTTGCAAAAGATAGAATCTCATTCTGTTTTATAGCTGCATAATATTCCATGGTGTATAGATACCACATTTTCTTTCTCCTGTCTATCATTGATGGGCATTTAGATGAACAACAGTATTGAGTGCTTTACTTGTACCATTACATCTACAGTCAGGCAAGGTAAGTATGCTTATCCTCAATGGTATTAATGAAGTAATTGAGGCTCAGAGAGGAGAAGTAAACTGTCAAAAATCAAAGCTGGGGCATGGAAGAGTCAAGTTTGGTCCCTCACTCCAAATGTCATGCTCCGAACTACCATGTGACTCGACTGTTCATGTCCTTCAACCATCTTCTCTATCATCTTTAGTTGCCTATGATGTCCTAACACATGAATACCTTGCTGTTTATTCAGCAGTCTATTATCTTTGGGCGTGTAAGCAGCTTCTCATTATTCACACATATTTTTACTCTATACCCGGCAGATAGTAAATGCCTAATATTTAGGAAATGAATATCATTAAGAACATTCTTATGGTTAAGTCCTTAAGCATACCAATTGATTTATTTGCTTTGGATATATTCCTTAGAAGTAGAATTGCTGGGTCAATTTATGTGTGGATATTAAGAAGCCATGACACACAGAAACATAGGGTCAAGACACTTGCTTCTGCAGGGTAGAGAAAGCCTGGTTTTCTATACTTCTGAGGACCACAGTGTCCTCCTCCAGAAACTCTTGTAGCCAGTTATCACCAGGAAATGGAGCTGGGTCTGCTGTTCTTTTATCTGCTGAGGGCTTATCCAAGAGTTCAACATAACTATACTCCTCTGGAGCTCTGTCCAGCCTGACTATTGAAATAGGCTTCCCCCCATCACCTGCCTGGTGCCTCCTTGATCTGAGCATCTGGGGCCCTCTCAATCTTCCCCAGAACCAGAAAATGAGGCAGATAATTACAAGTTAATATCACAGGCTCTGCAGCAAGAAAGGCTTGGGTCTAGGTTTCACCTTTGCCTTCTTTTATCTTTGTGATGCTGGGCAAGATACTTAGGCTACCTGAACCACATTTTCTGCCATCTGTGAAACTTGTGCACCTCCTTGGGCTACTTAAGTTTCATACAGTGTCCGGCATGTCGCACGTACTCAAGAACTGCTACAGGCCTGAGCTAACCAATATGGTAGCCACCAGCCGGTGTGGCTCTTCTGATTTCAATGAGTTAAAATAACTTAAGACTGATAATTCAGGTCACTAGTCACACTAGTTGTATTTCAATTGTTCAGTTACCGTAACAGTAGCATAGGAAGTGGGTACCATACTGGCCAGCACAGATACAGACTACGTCTACGTAGAAAGTTCTGCTGGCAGAGTTGCATCACAACCCTTTACCCTACCAGTGATCAGAAGAAGCACCCGGGAAGATAAAGCAACGAGAAGAAGTGGACCCAGCAATGTCTCCACCCAATTGTCTTGATGAGACAGCTCCCATGCATTGCTTTCCACGTCCCTGAGAACGCAATCCTGTTCTGCAGTTTGAATTTCATCCAGCTGCTTTTGTCACCTCATCTATCAGAAGTCCTAAGGAAAACAACTATTTCAAAGCTCGTGGTCGCCTTGAATATGCTTTTGTGGGTCTAAGTTTGTTTTCGTAGCTCAGTGAATTAGTTCTGCTGTTAATGTGTCCCCCCCGCCTGAGCTGAGGGGTTCCTTTCAAAAAAAAAAAAAAACAATAACAATAAATCGATCACTCTTTAGATCTGCACAAAGGGGAACAAAAAATATTTAGTTTATGGGGGTCTGGTAGCTAGCGGCAGCTCCTAGGTCCCGAAGAGGCCGGCAAACTTCCAAACTCACGTTATTGTTTATTTTCCATGTGCCTTCAGCTGGCCAAGAAAAGGTGCTACAGGAGTGGAAGGAAGCAGGGCTGTATAAGGAGATGGGGCACCAGATGTGGAGTGTCAGCCTGGCTGGGAATGGAAGCCCAGTGGGAATCTGCTTTTCAGGAAATACCCAGCACCCTGGTCTTTTTTGAGCACTCAAATCTAAGACTCTTTATGGTACCAGAGGTGGGTTATTGACATTTCCATTTAGATTTGGACCGCATGAACCTTATACTGGAGAGGTCCTCAGGGGTCATCAGCCCAAATGGACAAGCAGAAAGGACCAATGGGGATCATAGAATCCTTTGGGTTCCAGCAGCAAATTCCATTCTTCAAGTGAAATGAGGCAAAACCTCAACAGAAATGTAAAAGTCGGAAAGGGGGTGTATTTTCCCTGGCTCCAGCAGTAACGAGAGCCTAAAGCCCTACTCATATAGCCCCCAGGTCAGTCCCCTGAGGCATCTCTGTGGAAGAGAGTGTAAAAGCCACCCAGGTTGCTCAATTTCCCCACTCAACCATCAGCTAGCTCTCTTTAGAAGAGCAATACAAAAGTAAATGACAAAAATGCAGCTGGGCGCAATGGCTTATGCCTGTAATCCCAGCACTTTGGGAGGTCAAGGTGGGCAGATCATGGGGTCAGGAGTTCAAGGTCAGCCTCATCAACATGGTGAAACCCCATCTCTAGTGAAAATACAAAAATTAGCCAGGCGTGGTGGTGGGCACCTGTAATCCCAGCTACTCAGGAGGCTGAGGCAAGAGAATCACTTGAACCTGAGAGGCAGAGGTTGCCGTGAGCCGAGACCATGCCACTGCACTCCAACTTAGGCAACATAGTAAGACACCATCTCAAAAAAAAAAAAAAAGAAAAGAAAAGAAAAGAAAAATATGTAGAGTCAGATATGTGACTAGCACAAGTGACTTGAGTGAGCCTCAAAGCTGTCATCTGTAGAGTGGGAATAGTTCTGACTCCACAGATGCTCTCAATTAAATGAGAGAGAGCATATTGGCCTTTAAGGACAATATTTTGTTACATGAGTAGAGATATTGCTTTTGATAAGAATCAATTTTATATACCAGTTATAAGAGAATGTATTCATTTTCCTCCTTCCTTCCCTCCAACCCTCCCTCTCTCTTCCCTTTCTTTCTTTACTTCTTCCTTTCCTAACAAACATTTATTAAGGACTGGCCCCTGTGCTAACTTCTGAGAACAGGGTGATATACTAGATGCAATCGTTGCCTTGATAGAATTTGCTTGTTCTAGTGGGGAATGAGACATCAGGTTGAGTATGATTATAGAACTGGATGCTGGCTTGCCACATGCAATTGTGTGGATTGTGACTAACACAAAATCTCTTAGCTGAAGGTGCAGTGGTAAGGGCTATGACAGCCCTCAGGAGGGGTTGCCTTGTTCTAATTTGCCAAAGGTGCTAAAAGGTCTCAAAGGCCTTGATGTATCCTATGCTAAAGGGAAGTGCAGGGCATCCCCCAATGCCCCTAACATTGTTATGTTACTAGTGATACACGAAAGGATTATGATAAGATATATGCAATTAGGAAAAAAAAAATTATACCCAATCTCATGTCATCATTTTCTATTTGCAAAATCCACAGTACTCTTATTGTTCTTGCAAAACATAATAGAAGAGGATGTGAGAGTTTTATGCTTATCTAAGGGACACATGGGTTAAATAAAAAAGGTTCAACAACCACCAGTTTAGAAAATTGTGCTGCAAATTTAGGAAGGATCTTGGAGATGCATGTCCAATGATTCCATTTTCTTGAGAAAAGTGAAACCCACAAAGAGAATGACCCAAAGACATTAGGTGGCCGAGTTGCAGAGGTAGGCCTTCCATCCTTAGAAAAGGTAAGCTGCTCATTCAAGGCTCCCCTGAGCCAGGATTAAATCCCACATTTGGCATCCAGTCCTGTTCACCCCGCAGAGTGTAGGGCCCTACCTGCATAGCTCATGAAGTTGTTGTAAGGAGTGTCGAAGAAGCTATGAAAGCCACAGGTGTCATTTCCTGGCTCTGGGTCACCGCAGGACTTGTGTTTGGGGACTGGGTTGGTATCATTGCAGAGGTCTCCAGTCTCGAAGGAGGGCTCTGTCTCCATGCAGGGGTCACTGCAGGACTGGATTTCTGAGATGCCTCGGAAGACGTGATAGAGGCCCAGGCTGTGACCAATCTCATGGATCATGGTGTGGGTGTGCCCAGGCACGCCATAGAAAGATGGGTTCAAGACAATGCCACCTGTAAGGGGAAATCCAGGGAATCAGGGAAGCTAGGTACTCTGCTTCTTGGTGCAATCACCCCCAAGTCTACCAAGGAGAAAGAGATGCTGCCCAAAACAACCATAAGCTTCTCCACCCTATGACTCCACTGCCCTGAGAACTGTTACGTGACATGAATCATGAGCTATCAGAGCAGGAAGGAAGCTCAAAAGTCATTTTCTACAATTCTTCATTTTTCATATGAAAACACCAATGCTTAAAGAGGTAAAGGCACTTACCCAAGGTGATTTCAAACTATTTCAATGGAGAGCAATTCAGAAACTCTGATTTCTCAGTCAGTAAACCTTTCTGCTGCAACCTCTCCCTTAGAAAGTAAGGTCTACCCTTATTTCCAAATATTCTATATATTCTTGTCTAGACAAAGCCCTCAGGTTCAGACATCTTGGTTCTGGTTCTCATTTTGCCTTCACTAACTCTGGGACATTGAGTGGAAATTAATTAGCGTCTCTGAATCTCATATTTCCATCTCTGATGCTGTAAGAGCATGAAAACTCATGTAGGTCAGCATCATGTTGTATTCACCATTATAACAGTTTTCATACTAGCTAATATCTCTTGAGGAGAACTCTTAATCAATGTTCTACTGTTAATGACTATCATAGGGCCTGGAGTAGAGTATCACATTAAATGTGTGTTGAATATTTTCTGTGTAACTCATCTAAAGAAGTTTGAGAAGTTTAACTAATCTAGTGTGAGCAGCTAGAATAGCACCTCCATCCATCAAGTGCATCACCCCAGACCTACAGAAGCACAATCTGTATTTTAAAAACAGCCTTGAATGACTTGTCTGTATATTCTGGTTTGAGAAGCAATGGACTATACCACATGTCTCTGAAGACTGAGCATTGCTTAGCTTGGGGAGATAGAACAGATCTCAGCAGAATCCATGGGTAGTATTTGTGCTGTGTTCATTTTGGGAAAGATGCATACAGGCTGACAGAGAGATATTTAAACTTTAAAATTTGAAAGTGTTTAAGGGAAGGTTAAAAATCAGGTCTGTGAACCTTGAAAGTAGGCACTTTGGGCGTAGAGCAGCATCTTATAAAAGAATGATGAGGAGGTAGGGGCTTGTTGATTTGAACTGGCAAGCCTCAATGGGCTTGAGGAGAGTTTTATCTTAGACTGAACCTCTGGAACGGGTGTACCTGTGCAGTCAAGGCACTCACAGAGTCTATGCAGAGGTCTCTGATTTTGAAGAAGGGGCTCAGGTTATGGGTCCCTGGAGGACTTGATTCCTGAGATTGAATTTCTGAGCATTTTTGAATTGCTTAGAGCTTTCTAACACAAAGATAAAGATGTATGAGAGGGCCTGTGAGTGTGTGGGTGTGCACATGAACATGGGTATGAGAAGGGGGCAGGCACAGGCAGGGAGGAAGAGAAATTGAGACAGGAAATCTTTCTCAATTATTTTCTGTCAATCATAACATGAAACATAATCCGCTTCACACCCAAGGCTTTTTCCAGGGATCATGGTGTAACAGCAGAAAAAGAGGGTAAAAAAGTATGGTTGTAATAAATTGGGTTTGATTGGGGCTACTGCAGAGAAATCACTTATGAGCAGCATCTCTCAGGATGGGGAGAGGGCAGCCTGGAGTCCAGCTGGAGTTAGCTGACATGGGTTGCAATCCTCGTTCTGCTTCACTGGCCTTGTGACTGTGGAAAAAGGACTTTGCATCTCTGGTGAGCTCTAAAAGAAGCAGCTACAATAATGCCAGTGATGCTCTGTCTCCCCATGAAGCTTCATTATTAAGGTAATGAGAGGATAGGACCATTCCAGGGATGATGATCGGATTGCAGACTTAATGTCTAAGCTAGCCCTGTTTGTTTTACCTCATCCCCTCCCAACTCACACCTTTTCACAGAGTGACAGCACTTGGGCCCCAGTCCTGTTTCATTGCTTCTCTTATAAGGTGAAATAACTTCAGCCTAACATTATCCTGGAGTACTATAACATGCTATGGATTTTTAGCCTCTCTTATTCCTGGCCCTGAGCCAGTCTCTGAAATTTATGGAATTATCGGGAGTATTTTTTTCTAACTGTAGAAGTGTGCTGCTCAACCATTCTCAGACTCTGATCATGGCCCTTCCAGTTGCTTTTCTAATAGGACAGAATTTCAGAACTGAGAAGGGTCCTTAGGGTTTTCTGGCCTCCTAGGATCTGCTTATTTAATATTGAAGGATACAGAGACCTGAGGAAGGAAAGAGAATTGCCTAAGGCCATACTGCTAAGTCAAGCCACAGTTGAGAACAAACACGAATTTTGGCTCTAGTATAGCATTACTCCCATACACCATATACTAGGTAGGTGATATAAGCTGATCATCTTCAAGTTTGCCTAAGCTGCATGCTCTCTTAGGAGTTCTTACAACCCTGTCTGTCTGTCTGTCTGCCTATTTATCTACCCATACATCATCTATCTCAGGACTTCCCAACCTCAGCACTACTGACATTTTAGACTGTATAATTCTTTGTAGTGGACACTGTGGACATTTAGCAGCATCACTGGCTTCTACCCACTAGATGCCAGTATCATTCCCCCATTTGTAGCAAGCAAAAATATCTCTAGATATTGCCAAATATCTCCTAGGGCATAAAATCCTCCCAGCTGAGAACAAGTTGATATTTATCTTTGTATTTATTTATACAACCACACACACACACACACACACACACACACACACACGCACACACAAATTGGTTGCATTCTCTAAAAAACAATTGAGAAATGAGAGTCGTCTGGAGGGAACTATGTCTATGTTTAATTCAGCAAGGCTTCTATTATTTGAATCTCTCATTTCCAAGACAGCATAGCAATGGGGTAGCTACTGGACTCTGTTTCACCAGGAGACCAGGCAGGCTTGAGGATACATCCAGCACTGTCACTGCTGAGCCAGAACATTCTCAGATAAAGATGTTCACTGAGTCATCAAGATTTATGCTTGTAAATAATGGGAACATTCTACCAAAGGGAAAATGGTTAAATAAATGGCAGTGCTGTTGTTCAAGGGAATATTATGTGGCTTTTAAAAATCTTGTCTTTAGAGACGGGGAAATAACCCCGATGGGTACTTTTCTTTTGTGATTTTAAATGAAAAAAAAAGGGTGAGAAGTAAGGATAAGACTTCTGCAACATGGAAAAAAAAAGGAGATAGCATAATATTAAGTAAAAAAAGAACACAGAATTTCATCTATGCTATGATTTTTAAAATGTACAGTTAAAGAAAAGCATGTCTACATATAGATGTGTTCTGGAAGACAGCATGGAAAAAGTAAAATTAAAAAACTACAATGTTTGCTTACAGGGCAACTTTCAGAAACTGTTGTCATGTCTAACTTTTGGTGATTGGTTTGCAGAAACTTATGTCTTGTTTATGGATATGCATAATTTGAATGTAAGATGAGTTCCTGTTGGTGTTGGTGGGCGGAACATGGAGGAACAAGGAGTTCTTACAAACTCACTTTCTCTTGCCTCTTTGGTGTCTTTCAAGCCAACCCATGACTGGCTGTGCCAGTACAGTGTGGTTACCAGACCGAGAAGATATTTGCAGGAACTAGGAGACAGAGGGTTTAAGGAGAAAGCAAACAATAGACAGTGTTGGAAACTTGGATTCCAATTGCGACTGTCACTGTCTTGTGTGTGATGTTGGATAAGTCCTATTTCTTCTTTGGGTCTCATTTCCCCATGGATAAAACATGGTTAATAATATGGTGCTATTTCCTTCAGAAAATTGCTTGGTGGTCAAAATGAGATAAAGGATGCGAAAAAGATTTGTAAATTAAAGTGATAAATAAATGGGTTGTTCACCCTTATGACTACCACCACCACCATCATGATCATAATAATGATCACCATCGCACTGAATGTATTACCGTCCTACTCCCGTTTCCTCTTGAAGAAGTTTCTAAGACTCACCTAAGTGCATTAGGACCTCCTTGTCCCACGGCCAAGTTGCTACTCCTGCCAACTCCTCTTCTGAGGAGTTTGCAAAGAAAATATTGAGATGTGTTGATCCATCCAATCGAAGAATGTTCTTTAGCTCATTAACATCCATGTAGGCTCTGAAACAGAAGAACTACGATTGTTACCATACTCAAAAAGATACTATTTAAATAACAGGCATTCTTCAAATGATTTAGAGCAACTATGTGTGCCAGGCACTTTGCTAAGCACATTATAAACACCATGTTATTGAATTCCCCCAATAATATTATAATTAAGATGATTCCATTTTACACATCATAAAAATAAGTCCTTGAGAGTTTAAGACACTTGCCGAAGTTGTTAGGCTTCTTACAAACACAGACGTAGGTAGTGTCATTATCTCCAGAGGCTTAGAGAACCTTCTTCAGACCTTACTAAGTTCAAGCTGCTACTTGGCAGTGTTTTCCTTTTCCTTAATGCTGACTCTACCCAGGAGCTCTCACAAAGCCCAGCCAGTAGCACACGTTACTGATGGTTCTCTTCTCTTCCCCTCTTAGAATAATAGAAGAGCTTCCTCATATATGAAAGACCAAGCCCAAGTTCCCAGCATGGCCTCCAAGATGCAGCCTACTCCTTAGCCTCATCTCTCTCTATTCCCTCTCTTGAGCGTCCGACTGCATACAGACATCTTTGCATCATGTATAGTGCATGATCCCATTGGCACTTTTATTCACGCTGTTTCCTCTACTGGGACTCTGATCAGCATTTTGTCCTGTGAGGAACAAATCCAAAGTCTGTTCTGGAATCTCTCCTCCAGAAAGACTTCCCTGATGCTTTCCTCACCTGCACCCCTTTTAACATCTCAATACTCGTCCACCTCCTACTGGCAGTGCACTCTCTCTCATTTGCCATTTCAATGAATCACCTCCTCTGTCTGTTATATAATACACATTTGTGGCCACCTGGGGAAAGGGGCATGCCTTATTCATCTCTGTTTACCCAGTTCTCAGCACAAAGCTTGATACCTGGTGAACACTCGGTAGATTTTTGATGGAATTGAATTAAGTTGGGAAAAGTAAGAGTAAAAATATTTAACTCTCAGTCTCAAATTTAGTAATTCCTGGCTAATGGGGCCTTGGTTTTCTTATCAATACACTGAAACTAGTAACAGCTGCCTGGTGCTCCACAGAGCATTTCTGTGGGTGGAATACCTATCCCTCTACCCTGCTGTGAATAGGATACGTCTGAGACCTAGAATGTCATAGCCGCCCATGTCACAGAAAGCCCCAAGCTCATAAAATCAAACATTCATGTGACCATAATTTGTACAACTTTTCACGAAAATCATGGGTTGGAGATATAGGTGGGGCCAGGAAAGTTTATATCTGTGTCTAGGTTGAGCTGACTACTTCCAAGAATCACAAGCTCAGATATTGACATGAAATCTCGCTGCTGAGCTCTTTTCTTCCTCAAGAGCCCACATTCAACTTCTTAGGCTGGAAGCCTCATGAGGGATTCTAATCAGTCTGCTCTGTCATCAGGGAAGAGAACGAGGAAGGAGACAGCCAACATTTACGAAGCATTTGCTGTATACCAGACCCTGTGCTAGGTACACATGTCTCATCCCTGTTAGGTAGTTGAAGCAATGCAACAGAGTGGGTGAGACGGCTCATTCTTAAGCTGCAGCCCTAGGTTTGAATCCAGCTCTTCCACTTTATGTTTGGGTCACCCTGGGCAATGTACTTAACTTCCCGTGCCTCAGTTTCTTTATATACAGAACAAGGGTGATAGTAATACCTACCCCATACAGCTGTTCAGAGGGTTAAGGTAGTTAATAAAGAGAGAGTAAAGGGCTTAGAAGAATGCCTGGCATGTAGAAAGCCTCAGCGCATGTTTAACTATTCCTATCACTTATCCCCATCGTACAGATGAAGGAACAGGGGTTCAGAGATCACACAACAGGCGACGAGGCCAAGTACAAATCTAGACGTGTCCAACTCTTCCCACAACCTCACCCTCATTTCCAAGCTCACTCAGGCCCACAGTGAAAAGGGAAACAATGCCTGGGAGAAGAATGAAAACACAGAGGAGCCGAGATTTTCTTGGATCAGCCCTTTCCACATAATTTATTATTTTCTAATTGATTTGTTCATTTCCATCAAATGTTCTCTCAGGCAGAGAACAAAAATGTTATTAGAGAAAGCCACCTCTGCCCATGGCTCTGAGATGAGAAAGCTTCCAGAGAGAAAAAGACAGGGTGGGGTAGGGGCAGGGGAGACGTTTTAATTGGTTGTTTATTCGGTGGTAATTGCAGAAACCAATCTTTTCAAGAAGTGGTATTCATCCAAGCCCAAAGCAGAAAAATGGGATGTGGGAGCGTCTCCCTGACTTGTACGTGATTTTTTTCCCCCATACTTTGGGAAGCCTCCATTTCCCTGAAGGGGAAGAATCCACAGCAGCAATCCAGGCTGAGGCCCCTAACCCTACTGGCCTCTTCTCTTCCCCACCTCTCCTAGAGGGACCTACCCAAAGCCGGGGGAAAAAAGGCAACAACACAGCTCTGTGGATGAGTTTTCCTTCTGTTGCCTGAGGTTTTCCCACTAATACACAGCCAGGCTGGGTGTCTCTCAAATATAACAGGGGGAAAATCTTCAGGACAGGAATACATGTGGGTATTTACCTCCCTACCCTTATGCCTTGAAAGGATTTTTTTTTTTTTTTTCCCCCTTTTGTCAACAAGACAGAAGAGAAAGCACAGGAGGTCAAATTCAGAAGAAACTACTGAACTACTTTCCTTCTCTCATCTTCACTATACCTACTGTCTAGGAATAATGAAGGTGAGAGAAAGAAAAGGGCCACGTGACTTCCATTTTGCAATTGTCAGGAAGGCTGGCCCTGTGCGTACATTGCACATTGTTCAAATACACTTTAAAATGTAAGGGCTTGGTGTGGTTGCTCATGCCTGTAATCCTAGCACTTTGGGTGACCAACGTGGAGGAATTCTTGAGGCTAGGAGTTTGAGACCAGCTTGGGCAATACAGGGAGATCCCATTTTTACAAAAAATACAAACAACTCAAAAAATTAGCTGGGTATGGTGGTATATGCCTGTAGTCCCAGTTACTTTGGAGGCTAAGACAGGAGGATCACTTGAACCCAGGAGTTCAAGGCTGCAGTGAGGTATGACAGCACCACTCTCCTCCTACTTGGGCAAAAGAGCAATATCCTATCTCTTAAAACAGAAACAAACAAACGTTACTTACTTCCCAGAAAAAATCAATCAAAATCCAAAAACTCACACAAAGTTGGACAGACAGACCTATATCTATGGGAAAGTTGTCTGTCCAACTCTGTGTGTGTATTAGTCTGCAGATTAATCCGTGTGTGTGTGTGGATCTGTAGCTTAATCTGTGTGGATTAATCTACATAGAAGTTTTGCTACTCAGAATTGGATAGTTAGACCTAAATCTATGGGCAAGTAGGTTTGAGTATCACTTAGCTCAGGAGGATACCAACAGGATTAAATAAGACAGTCCCAGCACATAACTAGAAAATGTGAGCTTCCCTCCATATCCTGGTCGCCTAATTTCGCCTACTGGGAAAGAATCTAAACGGACAGGCTGCCTCTGGGTGGCTCTCCCAGTCTGTTTTCAGTGTCTCTTCTTCATTACCCTACCTTCTTCCTCCTACAAACTCAACTACTTGTTATCTTGGTTTCCTTATTCTGGGAACCTTAGTTTTCCCCAGTTATGCCCAACCCCTAAGTATGTCCATTAGTTTCCCTTCTCTGCCTTGCAACATCTCTTCTTGATTCTTAGCTCTTTTAAATCTTACAATTCCTGCAGAGACCAGCTTACCTGTGATGCACTCCATGTATCCTCTTATGACTACCCTTGTCTGTAAAGTAGGGATGATAACCTGTCAAGGGTGTCATAAGGATTAGAGGCAACATAGGTTAAGTGCCTAGCATGGTGGCTGGCACAGAGAAGGCATCACTGATTAGGATAGGCTCCTTTTACTGTATTATTGTTAGTAAAATGAAAATTATTAATAATCAAATAATCATCATCACCTCTATCGGAAAATGAATCCTTCCTCTGTTTTTTCCATCAGGTAATGAGCTTCTGGTAGTCAGGACCAAATCTTTATTATCTCTGTATCACTTAAAAGTATCCTTCAAGAGAGAATCACCACTGATGGGCAGCTACTGAGCACCTCTCTCTCAAACTGCATAGTTTCAAAACAGGATGAGCAAGCCCAGAGCTCAAGGAAGGGGAATGATTTGCCCAAGGTCAAATACCTAATACAGAGTATAGAAAAGCCTGGCAACAAGTCTCTCTGCTCCAACCTGTGTACATGTCACTTGTGTATAACAGTCATTTTGTATCACAAGCAAAGTCACCTCTTCCTTCAAGTGGACACAGTTCCCTGCAAAGGTGCATAGTTTAGAGAACGAGTAATGGGAAGGATGGCAGCCTCCATTCTCTCCCTCAGCTGGACACATGGGTGCAGGGACCTGCACTGCCTGAGTATCTGACCACTTCTCACTGTGCTCTGCTGGTTGTTCTCCAGCTCAGGGTTTCTACCTTTTCAGTTAGGTTGTGAAATAGATCTGGGTCTTCCAGATCATGTTTTACAGAAGGCTAAATTTGTAAGAAAGAGATGAATATTCAAAGAAATTTTGCTGAGTCAAATTGGTTTGGAACATGCTCTGTTAAATAGGGTTAAATACACATATTTTTTAATTGCAAGAATTTTCAGAGCCTCAAATATGCAAAATCAAAGTAAGGCAGATAGTACGGGAAGTGTACCCAAATATATTTGACCATAATTCCTCCTCCACACCCCTCCTCCTTACACTTCCACCTTTGCCAAAAACCAAACAACAGTACAAACCACAAAGTTTGGAAAATATTGGCTAGATTGAAACGTCCCTCCTAATTTAGATCCTTTACCCTGAGCTGCCTCTCGAGAGTGGTCTCTTTTCTTCTTGCCCAACACACGCACCTGGTTCCACTGTGGAAATTGTAGGTCCCCTGGAATGTCTGTTTCGGGGGGCCCAGCCCTGATTGCCAAGGCGCCCAGACTTTACCCCTTTGCCAGAACTGCATTTCAAAGCCATGAGTACAGTTCTGGAGG